TGCTTCTGTGAAGATTGACAGCCTTGGAGACCCTGTGGGCAGTTCCACTCTGTCCTCTAGGGGCGCTGTGGGTCGGAATGGACTCCAGGGCAGTGGGTGTGGTTTGGGCTTTGCTTCTGTGAAGATTGACAGCCTTGGAGACCCTGTGGGCAGTTCCGCTCTGCCCTCTAGGGGCGCTGTGGGTCAGAATGAACTCCATGGCAGTGGGTGTGGTTTGGGCTTTGCAATTCAAGATGGGTCCTGCCCACAAAGGACTCTGGGAGAGACCATGGGGCAGTGACATGGACCAGGAAAGAACACGTCACCAGACTTCATGGTGATGTCAGTTGGATCCCATCACCAGCACAAAAACAAAAGCATCTCCATCCATTATTGTTATCGGTTGTCATGGAGTCAGTTCCAACTCTGGGTGACCCCATGTGTGCAGAGAACTGTGCTCCATAAGGTTTTGTTTGTGTGTATGTATGATTTGGGTGAGCTCCAGGGGATTTTCAAGGCTGTAAACTTTTGGAAGCAGATGGCCAGGCCTATCTTCTGACACGCCTCTGGGTGGGTTCAAACCACCAACCTTTCGGCTGTAGTCAAGTGCTTTACCATTTGCCACCCAAGGCCAAAGCAAGAAACACTAAACCCACTGCCCTCGATTGGATTCCGACTCACAGCACCCCTAGAGGACAGAGTGGAACTGCACCACAGGGTCTCCAAGGCTGTCAATCTTCACAGAAGCAAAGCCCAAACCACACCCACTGCATGGAGTCCATTCTGACCGACAGCGCCCCTAGAGGACAGAGTGGAACTGCACACAGGGTCTCCAAGGCTGTCAGTCTTTACGGGGCCACATCACCAGGGAGCTACTGAGTGGGTTCGAATGTCCATCCTTTGGGTTTGCAGCCGAGCACTTAACCACTGCACCACCAGGGCTCCTTGTCAGTAGGAAGAGGGAGCGCAAACTCAAATGTGTTAAATGTGCGGGCAGTGGTCCAGGAGTGAAGTTGGTCAGGGGCCGGGGCAACCCGTCCACTGCGGGCAGGGCCCTCCCCTGTGGCTGTCTGTGGGGTTACTGGGGAAGCAGCAGCCCCGAGGCCCCTCTGTCCAGGGGCGTGTGACCTGTGCTGCCTGTATCTGATCTTTCTAGTAGCCACACCAAAAAGCGAAGGAAACAGATTGAAAGAAATAAAATGAAAAGATACAGGTGGAGTTAGTTTTAATAATACACCAAAGTAAGGGTGCTGAGTGGCGCGCACGGGTTGTGCTCCGCTCCTCATTGAGAGGTGGGCAGTCGGACCCCCCCAGTGGCACTGTGGGGAAAGGCTGGCAGTCTGTTTCCACACAGATGACCGTCAGGGAAACCCAGCTGGGCAGGTCTGTGTCAGTCGTGGGGCTCTCGAGTCAGAAATCAACAGCAGGAACAGAGTCACAGCGAGCGTTCCTCGGTGCGCACGGAGGCGTTGCAGCCGGCATGGAAGGTTCCCTGGGGCACAGCTTGTTCCCTGCCGGTGCTCCGACCTGAGATTCCGCTCAGTACTTGACACGTGCCGCCGCCCTTCATCGCCATCCAGGGGATTCCGACTCACGGACACCCCACGTGTGTGTGACGGGTGCAGCTGTGCTCCGTAGGGTGTTCTCAGCGGTCGTTTTGTGGAAGCAGACGGCCAGGCCTTCCTTCCGCGGCGGTGCTGCATGGATTTGCACCGTTAGGCTGGCAGCTGACCGATGGCACAGTGCTTGTGCCCCAGGGACACTTAGAGCTCCTGTGGGCAGTAGCCTCCTGGGCCGGCGGCTCCCCTGCTGGCCCAGGGCCAGGGGCTGTTCCGTTGCAGCCTGAGGTCGGCGTTGGCCGGTCCTAGGGTAGCGTCCTCAGGCCGCCCTTTCTCACTGCAGCCCGGTGCTGCCGCTTCCAGAGATGGGATGTTTTTCGGGCATACCTGGAAATTGGAAATGTATGGGCAGTTTCTAGCTTTTAAAATACCGTCTAGTCATTCAGAAATCTTGAAAAATACCTTGTGGCTCAAACTGAATATAACCGAGGGCCCTTTTGGCCTCTGGGCCCCGTGTGTGGTGGGATGGAGCGCGGTATACTGTGCTGTCCAATATGGGGGCCGAAGGAGCTGTTTGGATTCACCGTAAGGAAAGGGAAATCAAACGAGGAAGTCAGCCCTACCCCTGGGGCACGTCTGTTGGTGGCCTGGGCGGTGGGCTCCGGCGCACGGCGACCCCCGTGGAGCCGCGGCCCGGCTCCGCCCTCTGTGAGCGGGGTGGCCTCCCGTGGTTGAGCCCTGCCTCTTGCTGCCTTCCAGCACCGCAGCAGGGACCTGTGCGCAGTGAGGGTTCCGGGCCTCCTTTTCCACACCGACCGCCGGCCCGCCTTCCTGGTCCACCAGGGGTGACCTTGCCGGTGTCGGAAGCGCAGGCCGCCCCCGGGGCCCGGGCCCGGGCGCCGCAATAACCCCCCCGTCTCCCCTCCTCCCAGCCGCCCCTCAGGTGATGCTGCTGCCGCCCCGGCCGCCCGCCCTGCGCTCCTCCCCGGAGGCCGTGGACGCCGCGCCCACCCTCCGGGCCTCCCCGGAAGCCGTGGACCCGCCGCCCTCGCAGGTCGACCCCCCGCCCCCGCAGGTCGACGCCCCGCCCGCCGAGTCGTCCCCGCCGCGCTACTACCTGCTCATCGACACGCACGGCGTGCCCTACAAGTACTCGACGCACCGCAAGGAGGGCTGGCGGCCGCCGGTGGAGGAGCCGGCCCCCAGCCAGGCGGAGGAGGAGGGCCGCAGCTGCCCGTGCCTGGAGTGCGGCCGCGTGTGCAGCTCGCCCATGCAGCTGCAGCGCCACCTGCTGACGCACTCCATGGTCAGGCCCTTCACCTGCGACACCTGCGACCGCGCCTTCAAGCGCTCCAGCGACCTGGCGCGGCACCGCCGCATGGCGCACAACACGCTGCGGCGCCCGGGCACCGACCGGCCCTACGTCTGCCCCTACTGCCCGCGCCGCTTCCAGGACACGGCCACGCTGGCCGAGCACGTGCCCACGCACTAGCCGCGGGGCGCCCGCCTCCCCACGGCCCCGGCAGCACCCTGTCCGCAGCCTCTGGTGCTCTGAGACATGGACACGGGCCGCCGCTGCTCCGCGGGCCTCGCTCTCCCCCACCCGCCCCCGTCCGGCTACGTGTGGTGTTGTCCGGGCCTCGCCTCGCCCGCCCTGCAGAGTATTACACCTTCCCCACCCGTGTCTGCCATGTCTGCTCTTTTCTGGGCCCCCGCCCCCCTCTGCCCGGTGGGAAGAAGAACTCCGACCCACCCCGTTCTCCGCGGTGGCCGGCGGTGGCCGGGCCTCAGTTTCCCCATCTGCTCAGCGGGCACAACGCGCCCTCTTCCCCGCCCTCCGCGTGCTCGGGTGGCTTCCATTGGGTGGGCAGGCGGGGCCCCGTGGAGGGATGAGCCCAGGCGCGGCAGTTCCCTGTGGTGGGACTTTCGGCAAAGACTCAACCCTCCAGTCGGTCCCCACTCACAGCCACCACCGGACGGGAATACCGCCCGGGCCTGCGGCCGCAGGGCCTCACATGCCCGAGCCCGCGGGGCAGCCTGTGTCAGTCCCTCCCAGGGGCGGTCTTCCCCGTTCCCTGACCCCCTAGGAAGCATGAGATCCTCCAGGGGCTGGCGTCTCCTGGTAACGCGTCCGAAGCATGCCAGGTGAGTCGGGCCATTGCTTTTTGGAAGGAGCGTTCTGGCGGTGCCTGATCCCAGACTGGTTCGTCCACCGGTCCACGGTACACTCAGTCTTTGCCAGCACCGTTATTTCGGAGGCGTCAGTTCTTTGTTTTTCCTTATTCTTTGTCTTTCACATGCATATGAGGTCATAAAAAATATCACTGGTGTGGGGCCAGCGCCCTTAGTCCTCAAGGTGACATCTCTGCTTTTTTTTAACACATCACCCAGGTTTTTTGCAGTAGATTTGCCCAATGCAGTAGGCAGCCTAGCCTCCATTTATTGGTTGGTCTCTGTCGACGCCACCGCACGGGGGTTGGAAGACGGGCTGCTATTGTGGGTGTCGCGCCCCCGCGCACCCCTCCCCGCGGGGGGCCAAGGGCAGGGGCCCCTGGGAGCGGCCGGCCCAGCGGCGGCGGAACCTTGGTGGCGAGGCGCGCGCGTTCCCAGCCGGTGGCCTTTCCCAGGGACG